GTTTCTTCTGAAAATTAAAACTCGCAATATAATTCACGTACTCCCATCAAAATAAAGAAGTGTCTTTGTACAATTATTTGATTCAAATGCACAAATACTGTCTTTAAGTAAGAAAAAAAGCCAATAATAATTTACTTAAAAGGAATATTTGAGATACGTCCCTCTCCTTTTCGGATTTGGATTTTCTTCTTTTTTTCCTTCGTTATACGTCATGCGAGAATTTTACAACAGCATATATCTTGGCAGTGTCATTCTTTTCAATGCCACATCCATTATTATACATTTTGCATATTTCTCTTCTTGAAAAGAACAAATGGCAAAGTAACCTTTTTCCAAAAGGAAAAGATGAAGCTTCCTAAATGACGTACTCGAGTAAGATTTAACGCATAAAGTTTAATTTGACTTTTTACTTGAGAGTAACTTTCCTACATAGTGAGATTCCTACTTCCTAGTATTGGGTAGTGTTTTAATTTGGATGTGATTGTTACTTACTTTAAAATAAATTCTATCTCATTTCTTGTTAGTTACCACTATGAGACAGTAAAAAGTAGGCATATACGTACTAAGTTTAGGGCCATATTCTCCTGAACTAGATGATGAATTAGTAAAAGAGTTGGCTATAAAAGCACGGATTTATTTTATCATTTTTTTCAAATATTTTTTTTAAGTGATTGAAATTGCAATTTAATGCTAGTAGCAAGTAGCAACTTCACTCGTCAAGGGTCTTCCCGGTGTTTTTAATTCATGGGTCAAACCAAAAGAAAATATTTTAAAATAAAATAAGGAGAAAAGTACACTTTCTTATTTGTGGTGTTAGCTTTATCCAATTTGAAAAATATTAAGGGTATGATTCATGTTGTTCTTTGCTTTGTAGGCAAGATAATGAGGAGGTGCATAACATGGTTACATTTTTTGCCAAGTAGAAGGTGTGAAGACCCCTAATATATTAATCAAGGCCATGCCTTCACATGGGGATTCACCCCTTTTTTGGGTAGGTAAAGATATATAGAGAAAATGACAAATTTAGTCCATTATATTTGTAGGTAGGTTCAAAATAATCCCTTAAATCTTTTCATGAGTGGTTTTTGGTCCCTTAAGTTTGCCAAAATTAAGTACCTTTTATTCTTTAACATATTTTGATTGTTAGATTTAACAGAAACCACCAAGAAAGGATTTAACACCAACTCACATATGGAGGTGTAATTTTTGCTATTTTTGGAGTTTGGTACAGTTTTTTGAGGTGTAATGTCTACTAGTTTTATCTATTTTGGTGTCTGGTGCAGCTTTTGATGATGTTGTTTATGAGATTTGACTGAACTTTGTGGTGTTTTTATCAGAGTTTATTAATATCAGATAGATGCCAAAAGATCACTTTGGCAAACCTAAAAGGTCAAAATTACTCAGGAGTATATTTAATGACCATTTTGAATATGCCGCCAAATATGAAGGACCATTTTTATAATTTTCTCATAAAGATGGGTTGACGATTGTTTTATGAAAATTACTCTCAACTCAAAAGTTTTCTTTGCCTATTAAGTATTTAACTTCCATGTATTTTTTCTTTCGCTATTAAAGCAGCTACTTTAAACAACCTTTTATGTCATAATTTTGTAAATTTTCATAGGAACACGTGGCATCAATCAAGTGGTGTATTGAAACCTACTACGACACTAAATAATGAAGCAAATCCCAGTGGACAGGAATTTAGTTAGTTGTGGACTTGTGGTTGACCATAAATGTTCCTTATACGTCATGCTAGAATTTCAGAAAAAACATGAATATATTGGCAGAGTCATTCTTTCCCATGCCACATCCATTATTGTATCTCTCTTCTTGAAAATAAGAAATGGCAAAGAAACTTTTTTCCAAAAGGAAAAGAGAAACTTCCTAATTACTTACTCGGTAAGATATAACGCATAAATTAAAGGTTAATTTGCCTTTTTATTTGATGGAAACTTTCCTACGCTTTTTTAACTTTTCCACGTATTGATATTCCTAGTACATATTGGACAATGTTTCGGATGTGATTGTTACTTTATAGACTACCTTCTTCTTATTTCTCGTTGCTTGTCAGTTCCCACTTTGAGCCTGTGAAAAGCAGGCGTACGTGTGCTAAATTTAGCAGGGGCGGAGCTGCAGCAAATCCAATAACTAAAACGAATTGCTAGTATAAGTTTAATAGTAAGTTTAAAATTTGTAAACTATAAATTTTGACTTAACATTTCAAATGTAGTGCCCTATTCTTGTGAACTAATAAATTAATTAGAATTTTGAGTGTACGGACAAAGTTTCACATGGTGCCTGAAAAAATTGGGAGCCTACATATAAGGCGTAGGAGTCTCTTAGCTCCCGTTTGGCCATAAAATTTTGGAGCTTTTTTCTCAAATTTTGTATCCAAATATTTGTTTGTTTATAGATTTTAACTATTTTTTTCAAATCCCAAAAATAGTTCTAAAGCAGTTTTTGAAGTTTTCTACTCATAAAACTTCAAATTCTTTTAAAATAAAATGCATGTCCAAACACAATTTCAACTTTCAAAAATTATTTTTCACCTCATCTTCAAAAACTCATATTTTCAAGTTTCAACCAAATCTACATTCAAGTACTAGCTTAATAGTGTGAGGTCTTCTTGAAAAAATCGTGCGAATTTAACCCAAAACGAACAATATTACATTATGTTAAGAATATATTTGAGCTATTTTACCCAATAAAAGTGAAGTTAATTTTATCATTCTATAAGAGATTGAAATTGCATTTTAATAGAAGTGGCAACTTCACTCATAGAGTCATAGTTAAGTAGCATATATAGAGCTCAATCTCGCCTAGGGTCTTCCCCATGTAGTAGCCTGTTTTTAAATTCATGATTCAAACCAAAAATTAAAATAAAAAATAAAAAGAAGGAACATATACTTTCTTATTTATAATGATAGCTTTCTCCTATTTGAAAAATATTAAATGTATGATTCATCTTGTTCCTTGTTGTATAAGGACATAACCTTAAACAAGTGGGAACGCGATCCCATCCATCAATACGATTTTACACTTTGATTTGCCAAAGACTTAGATATGTATTTATGTCTCATTGTTGTTATGAGATAGTGAGTCGAATGCATTAACTTAAAAATCTTGAAAGGTAACCGATATTTTAACATTACAATAATGCGGATCCAGAGTATAACATATATGTTTACAGGAAACTAAATAACTTTTACCCAAATGTATTAAAATCCATTAAATATCTACAAATATTTATTGTAAACTAAACTATTATTGTATATTAATTTGATATCCTTACAAGAATTCATAAACTTTAATTCTATATTTGCATCCGATTGATGTGCTAGCCTAAAGTTTTCGTTGTTATTTTTCTTCGTTGTTTACCAAAATGCTACCTAACTGATTCGACGTGGGTAACACGAACATGACATAATGAGTCCAGAATTTAAATGGTAAGAATGTACCAAATTTTTATATACCGTCTGATATCTGGATACTGAATTCATCAAATATCCTATTATCGCAAAACAGGATTAGGTGCAGTGACTAGAAAGTGACTCTTCCCATGATGTAGCTTTGTCAGGGATAAGCTTTGCCAAACCAAAAGTTTGTGAACCATTTTATTTTATTTTTAGGTAAATTTAATTCGAATTATAGGAAAGAGATCAGCTGGTACAAGGCCAAACCCCACGTTCACGTAGGGTCCGGAAAGGGCCGCATCCCTAAGAGGTGTAATGTAAACAATCTACTATAATGCAAGTAATAGTGGTTACTTCCACGGTTCGAACATGTAACCTACAGGTCGCGCTGATATAACTTTACCGTTACTCCAAAACTCCTAATATCTTAAAGACCCTAAAAAATTAAACAAAAGATATAATGATTTGTATTTTCGACTAGCAATCTATTCCCAATGGTATTCTTTTAGTATATTCTTTTGTTGATTTTTATGGATCCTCGTTTTGAGAATTCTCTGCCCTCTTGTCGTTTGGGCTCAAGACAGGAGTATGCATGAAGAAAGAGGAAAATATAAACAAGAACTAATTAGGCTGGACCACCATAGGTTACATATGACCATCATAATTTTTCAGTACTTCATAAACCCACTCCAAATGATTTCCACTTGTTAGTAAACTTCTAAGAAAAAAAAAGACAGTTGGGTGCACAAAATATTCCTTATTCACGCATGGTCCGAGGAAAGGCGGCACCCCAAGGAGTGTGATGTAGACAGTCTACCCTAATGTAAGCATTAGTGGATGCTTCCGTGTCTCAAATCCGTGACATATAGGTCAAACAGAGATAGTTTTACTGTTGCTCTAAAAACATTTACTATAATTCAATGGCAAACTAGAATATTTGGGTTGTAGAACTAACAGATAAAAGTTTCCAGATTATTTTCAGCTGCCAAATTTGGTTTGTGTTAGATCTCTCTAACCTGTCCCTGACTTCACCATTATCAATAGAACAAATTGCAGTATCTCATCCTCAACCACATCACTGCTACTCCTGCAATGGGGACCGAAATAGATCTAAACAGTAGGCCCATATACTTCACCATGAGAAGATAATGTGATTACTTTTTCTTTTTTTTTTTTGTGTGTGGATAATAGTGGTTTCTAGGCCAGCTTGCCGGCATTTCGATTGTTCTGTCAGGCACATTCTACCTGCTACCAGCACAAGTACAGAGGTATTGCATTTTCTATTTACTACAAAATGAAATGTCACAGATATTGAATTTCAGACAACTTCAAGACACATTTGTCAACAATAACAACGCACTGGAATCCCACAATCCCATAAGTGCAGTTTCGGGAGGACAGTGTGTAGGCAGGCCTTACGCTGTATCGTGGGAAGGTAGAGAGACCGTTTTCAATAGACCCTCGGCTCAAGAAAGATAAAAAGAAACAGTAAAAACAAGTAATATCTCAAGACACATTTGTCATTACATAGAAAATAAGATCAGCAAGGACCCTTCTAAAAGTCATAAATAGCAACACATTCCATGAAAAGACCAAGAAATCAGTACTATTATATATGTCAATTAGCTATTGTACATCTGAAGGAAACAGGGAAACCAACCAACATTGTTAGTAAATATGATGACATTGAGAACAATTAATTTAACAAGAGTTGGATCATTTCTTAGGGTGAATACTTTGAACAACAGCCTCAATCTCTTCCTTGACTCGTTCAAATACATTTGGTCCTTTAACTTCATCAACTGGGGTGCTCTCATCAATGTCATCACTAGTTCCGTGAGTTTCCTTGTGATGCTGAGGTTTTTTGTCGTGGTGAATCATAGCCTCTATCTCTTCCTTTGCTCGCTCTATCAAATTTGGTGCTTTTACATCTTTTGCATCTGCCAATAGAGAGATCAAATTGGCAATAAGAAACATAAAACATATCATTTCCTCCCTTGTTATCCCTTAAAAATTTTAAGTCTGAATAATAAGTTAAAATAACATCACAATTAAATCATTTCCCAGCAGACAAGAAAGGATTTAGAAACAAATTGAAAAGAAAGGGGAAAATAATATCAATTGGCAATTGCAAAAATCAGCATCAACATTGCGAGATTAGTAAAAAGATTCAATTTTTAAGCCAATCAATGTCCACATATATGCTCAAATTGGAACAATTTTGCAAGAGCAAATAATGGTTTCTAATTTCTCGGCATTAAAAGGAAATTCTATCCAGTATTTTATGAATATAAGGGGAATAGGACGTGGGTAAATGAGAGAGACCCAAAAAGTGCAATATATTTTCTTCTAATTATAAATCTGTCAGCATCTTAATTTGCAATATTTTATTTTTCTCTGGCGATCCCTTTTCGTTTGCAACAAATAGAGAAAAGGATTGGAAATAGGGAAGATAATAGGAAAAAGGAAATCATTACCAGCAGTAGAGGTTGGGGCTTCATTTCCTCTAGATTCTGCCATGGGGAGGCTCTGATCAGGCTATAGATACAGTTTTGCAGGAGAAGAGAGAAAGCCGAAGGAGATGTGGATAGTACTAAATTACCAAAGAGAAAACAGCGTGGGCTTCGGGCTATGCAAAGCCCGCTCCTTCGAGTTGGATTTCCAAAGGGTGATTTGCACAAATAGCATACTTTTGATTTTCTGACCCCGTTTGCGGGTGAGTATAACTTCAAGTTTAACAAGTGTTAGACCCTAGATTACCGGGCTACACTTTTGACTTTTGACCATAAAAGTTTGTTCAAGGTGAGTCAAAAAATCAATAACATACATTTTTAAGACCATTGAGTGTAATTTCCTGAATTTCCAAAGTAAGTTCTCAATAAAGAACATAATAACTCTCAATAGAGATTTACTGAGTTTAACTTTTATGCATTGACGTTTTATAATTTTTTTTTGTGGTTAAGGTTGCCAGCTGCAGCAGTAGGTACTATTCATAAACAACATGCTATAACCAATTCAAAGGTACTAATATTGGAAGAAGCTAAGTGACTCTTGAACTGTCTTTTACCTCGCTTACATCATCAATGTATATAAGTTAATCCTAATTCCTAAATATTATTGTCCTCCTTTTATCTTCGCTTTGAATCTTCCTTTTGGGGAGGACTGGACCATGAATGGTTAAACAGTCAAGGAGCTCGGTTGATTTGAATGTTTTTTTTTTGTTTGCGACCAACCAGCCTTAAACTCTTGATTGGAATGTTATGAATTGTTATTTAGGCAGCTTTACCAATAGCTTAAATTAAGATAACTTGTTTATGAATTTCTTTTCGACATCACCTGGTAGAAAGATTGCAGGCATCACCATCACGGCCATCAAGTGAACCACCAAGGTTGATATGTTAGGGTCGTTCCCATTAATGGAAAAAGACATGATAATCAATCACTTCTAAACTTCTTCTCATATTTCTGCTTCGAATAGACTACTCAAGAAGGATATTTGGTAGAGGGAAGAATGATCTTCACATGTCATTCTCAAGGACATTTGACAGAATAAGAAAAGTATCTTCAATTAATTCGTTATGATAGTCTAAACTACAATCAATTTGAACATGTCCTACGTAGTACGTACTGAATGCTGTTAATCTATATAGGCTTCGCATGTGTAAATATGCAACTCAGTCTGGTCAAAAAATAGGATTGGGAACTGATAATAGGAGACAAGTACTCCATTTTTATTCGATTTTGAGTACCTTGGTAGACTTTCTTCCATGAGAGCTCTTATTTCATAAGCTTTTTGAAAGAAATAAAAAGGCGTCCTTGGCCTCTTTAACTTGAATCAAAAAGTCTTGTCAAGATCCTAATTATGAGTAAGCTAAAGGGGAGAAGATTCTAGGGCTGTGATACTAACACTGTATGGCACTATGGGCTACATTAAGTTCAGTCAAGAAAAAAACATTATTACAAATCAAGCATATTGTTAGGGAATCGAAACCAGCTTCAATGAATTTCTGCAAAAGAAATACTTGGAAGAGTTGTGGACAAAGCTGGGAGGTGGGAGCCTAAATATAAAACTCCAGTTATAACGTTTGAGCAAAACATCACCTCCTTGTCCTATTCTTTTCAACAATCACAACTTAAACTATTCAGTTGTCCGTAAAATGGCCTAAACTTGCCTTCTAGCCTTGATCCGTACACCTTGCAAACCAAGCAACAAATAGAGTTGCTAAGCTGTTATTCTTGATCGGCCCTTTGCAATACGTCGAGCAATGACTCTCCGGCCGCCCTTTGTTGCTTTGCTGCTCAATGATACGTGTTAGTCAGAACTCAACAAATAGCGTAGACAATTAAATCTCCCTATAAAGTAGAGTGGACCATTAAAATGAAACTAGCAGCACAAATTAATGACTGAGCTGATCAGGTAAGCTAGCCTAGGAGGCAACTAACAAGCTAATATTCATTGCCAGCATGAGAGCACGCCAGAGTCCTGGACGACATATTAAGCCTAGCGGTCGGTACACAGAAAGTCTGTAACTCCAACTCCTCTTTCATTTACCCTTGCATCTATTTGGAATTGTTTTAAAAGTAAAATACTCTGTCCATAACTTAATACTTATGAATTCAGGGGAACGTACTGTATACGTTGTACGGCTACTACAGTATCCAGAAGCATGAAGAGAAACAATGAGTGGTCTTGTTCATATTCTTTCAGCAGCTCAAAGACCCAAAGCTTAAATAGAACAATATAAGTGCAAAATGTGGTCATTTGTCCAGCAGCTAAAGTGAGCAAGACAGAGAAACGTACCGAGCCAGGAAACCATGGGTCCTTTTGCGCTTGATGTTGCTGGGTTGGTAGGTTCTCTTAGGAAATAAAAGCATCCCACTCGACGTAGAATCATCAACTGCATGAAAATAAATGTAAGAACCATACAGTAGTTCATGTCAAACCAAGTTAATTCCACGATTCTTTGTATTCAAGTCTCTGATGGTTTAAATGAATACACATGAAATAACAATACAAATTTAATTATAGTTATTTATACAAAGTTGGTTCACCCAACCAAACTGGTCGAAGGGGCAAGCAACTCATAGATATATATACTCCCTCCATCCCAAATTATGTGATGATATTTGATTGGGTATGGAATTCAAGAAAGAAAGAAAGACTTTTGAAACTTGTGCTCTAAATGAAGCCATGAGAAGTTTAAAGTTAAGTTATTTCTAATTTAGAAGGTGTCATTCTTTTTGGGACAGTTTAATAAGAAAAGAATTCACATAAAACGGGACAGGAGGAGTAACAAGTTTAAAATATGAGAGCTCCTTTTCCATTCTAGTTTGAGAAAATTACTAAGCTAGCTTTCAAAGAAAACTAAACTATTTATCTGTTTTCGTTGAAGAAGAGGTTGCTAGTGGCTCTCTGTTTCTTTTAATAAACATTAGTTAGTAATTTGACTTTTTAAGCATCAATAAAACGATAACACAGTGACGAAAGCCAAGCATATTCAGAAAAGGAAGAAATCAACCTAGCAATGTTCAAAAGTCTCAATCTTTTTCTAAATTCTGTAGCATTGAAAATGAATAAAAATTCCTCAAGTTATAAAATTAGTATATTGTAGGTCTAAGAGAGAAATTATTGCAAACCCACAAGGAGTTGAAACCCAAGCTTCAACCCGCACATAAACATGAATGGGTTGGACTATAAATCTGGTAAACTCGTCCTGTTTCAACCCACTAAAATTCAACTCAATGCACCCACTTTTAGCTTATTCCAGCTGTAAGTTATCAAATGAAGTTAAACTGGCACTACTAAAGAAACATCAAGAGCTGACTTTGATCCGTTTACCAACCCGTGATGCAAACCACAGCCTTAGTTGGATTGGTCAGACATATTATCTATGCCTATAGAAAAAAAGAAGAGTTTGTTTTTTCTTGTGTGAGAGGTTGTGAGTTCGAGTCACCCCAAGAGCAAGGTGGGAGTTCTTGGAGGAAGGGAGCCGAGGGTCTATCGGAAACAACCTTTGTACCCCAGGGTAGGGTTAAGGTCTGCGTACACACTAACCTCCCCATACGCCACTAGTGGGATTATACTGGGTTGTTGTTGTTGTTGATCTAATTATATTGAAAAACTCTACTGTAAAGTGTGAACCTAAAGAGAAGCAACAGGTTAGAATGCGGTCATTGCATCTAAACCCAAGCAATTAGCACCCTAGAGTAAGGTATCTTCTAAATGCCCCATCTTTTAAAAAAAAATCAGAATCAATCAATCAACTATGAGCCCATTCGGGTTAGCTGAATTTAAGTAGCTTTTGAGCGTAAAGTGTTGGAGCTTAAATTTTATAAACAAGTAACATTGTTTGGATAGAAGTGCTACAACTGAATATATCCGAAATGAAATAAATAAATATTACACATACCTAAACTTTACAGCTAAATACCAGCATTGCACAAAAGCGTAGTATAATTCAAATATATAGAGAGGGAAACGGAGATTTACCGTCGGGGAGGAAAAAGGGGAGGGAAGGGAGGCCAGTGGGATATAAGAAACCTTCGGAGGAGACCTTTTTGAACGAATCGACGTCGGATTGGGGCAAATGAAGTGGAATCGGAGACTGAGAGGAGAGAGATGGGAAAAGCCTAGAAGTGAGGGTCTGATTTGCAATTTCTGATTTTTGAGCTGAGAATTTTAAGTTTTGATTCATCAAACGGCTTATCAGAGAAACTCCCGTCCGAATTAGGGTTTTCGACGAAGACGACGACATTTTATGACCCTTGATAGTTGATACAGACCGATGCTAAGCCCTAGCACATTGTCTATTTCCGTATGTTCTGCCAATTTCCTCCATTTTCCTTCTGATAATGAAAATAACTTCTTGACTGTATGGGCCGATCTTTCTTGTGGGCCTTGGCTTCTAGACGTGGGTTTCTAACCCAATTAAGTTGGGCCTGAGTGCACTAATGGGTAAATAGCCACTTTTTGAACCACTAATCAAGCTTTACCCAGTCTTTCAAAACTAATTAAACTTTAGCCAACTTCTTAATATGAAAACATCATTTGGACGATCATACCTCTAGACTCAAACACAGTGACTAAATATTAAGAAGCGGTCTAAAACCTGGTCATCCGAGCTAATTTTTACATTAAAAGCTTATACAAGTAATTTTAATCATTTCTTAGTGATGTTTTATATATCCTATGCATCAGGGGCGCAGGCACCACCGTTTCTTCAAATTTTTTTCGCTAATCCGTATATATAGATAATAAGAAAAATAAAACAGTTTGGTGTAAATATAAAAAATGATACCTTTAGTCATTATAGTGATTTATTTATTTGTTCACTTCTTCAAATATCGACATCTTACAAAAAAAATTTATGTACGCCTGCATATTATAATTAATCCTTCTCTTTCTGCTTACTTTTTTTTCTTTCCTTTTTCCGTTTTTTTTTTTAATAGATCTTCTCTAATGGATTATTGTATCATATTGTGCTGTTTGAGCTTAAGCATCGAAATAAATGGCATTTAGTGTCAGAAAACTACAACCAACCACCAAGAAGCCACAAAGAAGCTAATGGAGTATTTTTACAGAAAGAAACTTCAGATTCAAGCAAAAAAAAAAAAAAAAAAAAGGAAACTTCAGACTATGCTAATTTCTGCACATGCTGCAAAAATATTTGAGCGCCCAGGTTCTTGAGTCTTGACTTTTTACTTTTCAACTTCAGATTAAAGTGTCACCTTTAGTTGACGCTAGTATAATTTTCCACTTTTAACTTTGAACTGCGAACACGCACATTTCAAAAGGAAACAAGAAAAGAAAAGGTCAATTGTATATGTAGTGAGTTTATTGAAAAAATTACCAATAAACTACATTGTATATGTAGGCGTATTTCTGATAAAAAATTAGAGGTAACAAACATTTCGAAAGGAACCTCCTTAATTTCTTGGATGGCAATGGAGCGGGGCGGGTTTGGCAAAACACACAAAATTTCAACCCGCTCTGTCCCGCCCCACATAGTTATTTTTTCAGTTTTCAATCCGTCCCCTTGGACCAGCCCTGCCCCGCCCCGCCCCGCCCCACTTAAGTTTTTTTCTTTTTTCTTTTGTTTTTTTTTCTTCTAAAACAAACTAGTTTGACATACTCCAATCATACAAATATATGAGGACGAGTATTTTTATTATGTGATGCCAGATTAGATATAGGAGGATACACAACACTGAAATACCATATTAGATGTAGTATAGGTGTCAGTACACATATATTATTATAGTTAAGTTCTGTTTTACTTTCTTTATCCATACACTGAAATACAAACAAACATAGAAGTGAAAGAAGACTGTACTGGACAGTGAATTGGGAAACTGCGTAGAAAGCTTAGCTGAAGCTATGAACGGATCTTCCTACCAAAAAGAATTAAAATTTCAAAATCGAAAAGAAAAAAACCCACATGGAGGAAAAATTAATTATAATTCAAAATAACATTCGTGCTAGTAAAAAAGAATGTAAAATTATAGTTGAAGTTATTGTTTTGTTTCAGAAAAGATGAAATTCAAAGCTGCCCCGCATTAAACCCGCAACCCGCCCCGCTTTAAAATTTTTAAAAACTGTTTTTAAGAAATTTTCTTGGGTTTAATTAACCGGAATAGTCGTAAGCTGTTTGTGTAGCTAAAAGTGAACGTACTTGGATAAATCATGCATTGTTATGAAATAAACTGAATGTATATGGATGTTCATTTAATCCATCCATACATATTATTTAATGTATTAATTAGATAGATGTACCTATTAATTCTTAAGATAGTATCTGGTGAATTTTAGGTGTTATCTTGTATACTATAAATAGGACATTCTTTGTCCATGGAAGTACACACAAGAAACACACTATAAGATAATTTCTACATTTTCCTCCTATATATCTTGTCTCAATTACTATATTGTTCTATTTTGCTCTCATTTCTTAACACGTTATCAGCACGAGGTTCTAACCAACTGAAGTTATCTGCTTCATCCGAATTTTATCTCCTTCCTAAAAGAGGTAGTCAGTTTCTTTTCCGATTCAGGTATACATTCCTATCTTTATAATGTTTCTATTAGGATATTCTTTAACCTGCAATTTAATTACCATATGCATAACTTGTTTTGAATATGATTATAATAATTGCATTGGTATGGAAATAATAAGTTTCGGTTAAATTGTTATTTCATTATATAAACTACGAAGAAGTTTAATCCTATACATAAATAAATAAGTATTAAAATTAAATTACAATAATTAGACTAATTAAGCCCACATCCAAATATTCTAACAGAATATGCATTTAGAAGGAATTCTTGCAAAATTTTCAAAAGATTTAAATGTGTCTTCAATAAATTTATCACCTAAGGGTACAAACTAATTAATGACTTTAAAATTAACGACTGAACTATTAGATGAATCGTATTGAATGTTGAAACTTGTCAGAATTGATATCATCTAGTTTTATGCCTGTTTAGCTTATTGAAACCTATTCTAAATAGAACAAAATTATACTAGTACATATTAATTCAACTTATTTATTCTATGAAAATATACTTACATGTCTAAAGTTTTTGTGGGTAATATTAAACACTAATTTATCATCGCACCGCATATAATTGTTTGTTTGATAATTTTACATTTAGAATATTAATACACGATTATGTACTGCACTGAATTGATAATAATTCACTTATTTCTATAATAGTTTTGACTATGTCGAATTTGTCAACACTTGAATTTATGGCACTTGATATCTCTGGGAATAACTATTTGCCATGGGTACTTGATGCTGAAATTCACCTTGACGCTAAAGGTCTTGGTGACACCATTAAAGAAGGAAATGAAGCATCAAGTCAGGATAAGGCGAAAGCCATGATTTTTCTTCGCCATCATCTCGATGAAGGGTTAAAAAGTGAATATTTAACCTTGAAAGATCCATTTCAATTATGGACTAGTTTGAAGGAATGATATGACCACCTAAAGGCTGTGGTACCGCCAAGAGCTCGTCGTGAGTGGATGCACTTACGGCTACAAGATTATAAGACCATAAGTGAATATAGTTCTGTTGTATATAGAATAATTTCCCAACTAAAATTATGTGGGAAACCTATGAATGACGAGGACATGCTGGAAAAGACTCTTTCCACTTTTCATGCCTCAAATATGGTGTTACAGCAGCAATACCGTGAAAAAGGCTTTAAGAAATATTTTGAGTTAATTTCATGCCTTTTGGTGGCTGAACAACATAATGCCCTTTTAATGAAAAATCAAGAAGCCCGCCCCACTGTATCAACTCCATGTCCAGAGGCGAATCTGGGAATGATAGATCCAAAGTCTGAAAAAAGATAAAATAATTATTGTGGCCGTATAAATATACGTGGGCGTGGCAAGGGGCGAAATAATAATCGCCATGGCGGTGGTCGTTATAAACAAGAAAACAATAAGGGTTCTCAGAATAATCCTTCAAAAGGCAAAGGTAATGTTTGCCACCGATGTGGTATGAAAAATTATTGGGCACGAATTTGTCGTACACCTGAACATTTTGTCAAACTTTATCAAGTATCTATAAAAGGAAAACAAAATAAAGTTGAGACTCACTTATTTTTCAAAATGATGTTGAGGCGGGACCTATGAATAATCATGATAAAGTTGAAGCAAACTTTGCCTATAAAGATGATATTTTTGAAGGCATTGCAGATATTACTCATTTAGAAGTTGGAGACTTCTTTGAGCATCATAACTGAAGACTTATTATTGGGAAAAATTATAAGAATAAATGTATTTCTTTTTATGAAGTTCATATTTTGAATAAAACTTTTTATGTTGTCAGTATTTAATTTCATAAATGTAGTTTCTTTTGTTCTTAAATTTTTCAATATTACTTATGATGTATTTTTTTTCTTCTTCTTGAAGAATATGAAAACTTCCTAGTCTTCAGTTGTCCGTATGAATAATTAGGAAGAAATATGTCTTCTGGATAGTGCTACGACGCACACCATATTAAAAGATAAGAGATATTCCTATTATTTAATTATAAAAGAAGCCAATATCATAACAATATCTAGTAGTACAAAATTAATTGAGGTCTCTAGAATAGAGACTGTATTACTACCAGGAGGAACTATATTGGCTGTTAATGATGCATTATATTGTAGTAGGTCTCAAAGAAACTTGTTGATATTCAAAGATATTCGCCAAAATGGCTATCATATTGAGACCACCAATGAAGGAAAGGTTGAATACCTTTATATTACTGCAATAAAAGCGGAAAAGAAGTATGTGCTTGAAAAGCTTCCTGCATTTTTCTCCGGATTATACTACACTAATATTAGTGTAGTTGAATCACATGTCATAGTAAATAAGGAGTTTACTAATGATTTTATTATTTGGCATGACCGGTTGGGCCATCCCGGTTATAATATGATGCGCAAAATAATTGAGAATTCACATGGTCATTCATTGAAGAATCAGAAGATTCTTCAAACTAAAGAATTCTCTTGTGTTGCATGTTCTCAAGGAAAACTGATTATTAGACCATCAGTATTTAAAGTTGGAGTTGAATCTCCTGCATTTTTGGAACGTATACATGGTGATATATGTGGGCCCATACACCCTCAATGTGGACCATTCAGATATTATATGGTTTTGATAGATTCATCTACAAGACGGTCACATGTGTGCTTGTTATCAACCCGCAATTTGGCCTTTGCGAGGTTACTAGCTCAATTAATAAGATTAAGAGCACAATTTCCAGATTATGCAATTAAGACACTTCATCTTGATAACGCTGGTGAATTTATGTCCCAAACCTTTAATGATTATTGCATATCAACTTGGATAACAATTGAGCATCTAGTTGCTCATGTTCATACTCAAAATGGTCTAGCGAAATCATTGATCAAACGCCTCCAATTAATTGCTAGACCAATGCTTATGAAGACAAAACTTTCCATTTCGGCATGGGGCCATGCTATTTTGCATGCAGCAGCTCTTGTGTGAATCATACCCACAAGTTATCATAAAGTCTCCCCAATACAATTGACTTTTGGTCAGGAGCCAAGTATTTTCCATCTTAGAATATTTGGATGTGCAGTATATGTTCCAATTGCTCCATCACAACGCACAAAGATGGGACCCAAAAGAAGATTGGGGATATATGTTGGGTTTAAATCTCCTTCTATTATAAAATATTTGGAACCTATAACTGGAGATTTATTTACGGCAAGATTTGCTGATTGTTATTTTGATGAATCAGTATACCCAATATTAGGGGGAGAAAATAAGCAGCCGCAAAAGGAGATAGATTGGAATGTATAGATCCTCGAACAAATCAATGTGAACACGAGGTTCAAAAGATAATTTATTTGCAAAATATTGCAAATCAACTACCTGATGCATTCACTAACCTACCAAGGGTGACTAAGTCACATATTCCAGCTGCTAATGCTCCTATTCGAATTGATGTCCTAGTTGGAGAATATATAAATGCAAATGCGTCTAAGCCACGCTTGAAACGTGGTAGACCAATTGGTTCCAAAGATAAAATTCCTCGAAAGCGAAAATGAGCAAATAATCTAGGAGATCATAATATGGAGGTAATTGCTCAAAAAGAGCCCTATGACATAACAAATGATAAGACCTCAGAGGAGGTCCAGGTACTTGCAAATAATAAGAATGAAGAGATCTCAATAAGTTATGTCTCTACGGCAAAAAGGTGGAATCGAAATAATATTATTGTCGACAACATTTTTGCTTATAATGTTGTTGTTGAAATAATGCAACAAGATGAGGATCTTGAATCAAGATCTATCGATGAATGTAGACAGAGAAATGATTGAAAAAAATGGAAATACGCTATCCAGGCAGAATTAGCGTCTCTTGAAAAATGTGAAATATTCGGATGTATAGTCCGAACACTTGAAGGAATAAAGCCAGTGGGATACAAATGGGTTTTTGTGCGAAAACGAAATGATAAAAATGAAGTCGTTAGATATAAAGCACGACTTGTGGCACAAGGATTTTCGCAAAGAACTGGCATTGATTATATGGAGACATATTCTCCTGTGGTGGATGCAATCACTTTCAGGTATCTTATAAATTTGGAAGTCCATGAAAAACTTGATATGCGTCTAATGGATGTTGTCACGGCCTATTTGTATGGCACATTAGACGACGAAATTTATATGAAAATCCTCGAAGGGCTCAAAGTTCCTGAAACTAATAAAATTTTTCGTTAAACTTGTTTAATAAAGCTTCAAAAATCCTTACATGGATTGAAACAATCAGGGCGAATGTAGTATAATCACCTGAGTGAGTATTTGCTGAAAGAATGGTATAAGAATGATCCAATTTGTCTTTGTGTATTTATAAGAAGGTATGGATCTGAATTTGTTATAATTGATATGTATGTTGATGATCTAAATATCATTGGAACTCCTAGGGAACTTTCAAAAGTAGTAGACTGTTTGAAGAAAGAGTTTGAAATGAAAGATCTTGGAAAGACAAAATTTTGTCTTGGTCTACAAATTGAGCATATGAAAGATGAAATTTTTGTCCATCAATCAACTTATACCGAAAAGATCCTAACGCGTTTTTATATGGATAAAGCACATCCATTGAGTACCCCGATGGTTGTGAGATCACTTGATATAAATAAAGATCCATTTCGACCTCACGAAAATGATGGAGAGCTTTTTGGTAATGAAACTCCATATCTTAGTGCAATTGGGGCACTAATGTATCTTGCAAATAATACTCGACCAGATATAACTTTTACAGTAAGTTTATTAGCAAGATTTAGTTCCTTTCCAACAACAAGACATTGTAATGGTGTTAAGCATATTTTTAGATACCTCCGAGGGACTATTGATATGGGATTTATTTTATTCTTATGAATCCGATTCGCAGTTGATTGGTTATGGAGATGCAGGTTATTTGTCTGATCCACATAAAACCCGATCTCAAACAGGCTATCTATTTACTTGGGGGGCTACAACTATTTCATGGCGTTCAACAAAACAAACTTTAGCTGCTACATCTTCCAATCATGTAGAGATAATATCTATTCATGAAGCTAGTTGAGAATGTATATGGTTGAGATCAGTGACTCAACATATTCAACAATTGTGTGGTCTTTCTTTAAAAACGAAGATTCCAACGATATTGTATGAAGACAATGCTGCTTGCATAGCTCAACTTAAAGGAGGATATATCAAAGGAGACAGAACAAAGTACATTTCACCAAAGTTGTTTTTCACACACGATCTTCAGCAAAATGGTGAGATAGATGTTCAACAAATCCGTTCAAATAACAATCTAGCAGATTTATTCACTAAGGCATTGCCAATATCAACATTCACTAAGACATGAGATTGGAATGCGTCGTCTCTGAGATATCAAATAAAGCTTTCATCAGGGGGAGTATAATACGCGTTGTACTCTTTTTCCCTTAACCAAGGTTTTGTCCCAATTGGGTTTTCCTGGTAAGGTTTTTAATGAGGCAACACTAAATGCGTATTACAAGATATGTGTACTCTTTTTCCTTCACTAGGCTTTTTCAAATGAACATCCAAGGGGGAGTGTTATGAAATAAAGTGAATGTATATGAATGTATATGAATGTTCATTTAATCCATCCATACATATTATTTAATGTACTACTTAGATAGATGTACTTATTAATTCTTAAGATGTATCTGGTGAACTTTAGGTGTTATCTTGTATACTATAAATAGGACATTCTTTGTCCATGGAAGTACACACAAGAAACACACTATAAGATAATTTCTACATTCTCCTCCTATATATCTTGTCTCCATTACTATATTGTTCTATTTTGCTCTCATTTTTTAACATGCATGATGTTAACTAAGTAAGAAAGAGCAGACATAATTAGAACATCTAGTCAGATAATAAAAAGCATTCCACTAGATCTCATCTGGACTGTTCCTGTTTTCAAGGTAGAAAAGAATAACCTAAACATCCTGCCTAACCAAACTTTGTCAGTAAAACAGCCTACAACACAACCTCGTAATACCAAGCAAAAAACATTGGCACTTCTGAATCAAAAGCTGATGGATTATCTTCACTACAAAATCCGTGGGTAAGCAACCGCAGCTTATCGATTAATAGAGCTAGCTCCACGCTCGAGCCTTTGAATAGAACAAGACATTTGAATCCTAGCACACTAGCCTTAGCTAGACTCCTGCTTCAAGTGCAGATTTGAATTTCTTAGTTGAAGGAGTGAGATTAGGCCTAAGGGAATAATCGATCCTGGGCTTCCTTTTGTCTCACCATTGGCTTCAAAAGGATGAGGCAATAGACAAAACAAGTAATGAAGGCATCACCAATATGACTCCAAGTGGATTTTGCAAAGATGACTTAGAACAAATTCGTCCAGAAATGTACAAAAACAGATCAAGTGACTGGATGAATTTCATTGTTTAACATCTAATGCAGTAGAAATCCACTCTGAAGCAGCTGCATGAACATCTGCTTCCACATGCATCACAAGAGAGATTGGAGTGACCGCTATCTGTTAAGCACATTAACATCAACTGATCAAGGCATATAAAGACATACAGCAAATGGCGAGAGATTGTCTAAACTGTAACATTACATATGATCACAAGGGCAGAGAACAAGCTAAGAAACTCCAAAGCTCCCTCCAAGCACCATGTGGGAAAAGACAATTACATCAAGGATAGGAGTAATAAACTTACAAAGCCATTTTCAAGAGCTCTATAATCTAAATCTTCGTCCTCTTCTTCCCGCTTCTTTTCAAGTAACTGCAATGCAAATATTCAATAAAGTCATTCACTTAACATTAGAATTAGGGGTGGCAAGTGGGCCGCGGTCCCGGACCGGTCCCGGTCCTTAAATAAACGGGCTTAGCGGTCCCGGAGTAAATGGTCTTTTTGTATGAACCGGTCCGGGACCGGGCCCACGAACTCATGGTCCCGGGCTAAACGGGTCGGGCCCGCGTGCTAAGTGGGCCCACGGCTAAGTTGTGATTTTAAAAAAAAAATTAAATAGAAATTAGAGACAAAAAGATGTTAAAAAAATATCTAAGGCAATGCCTTGTAAATTTATTATAGAATTGTGACCTAATTTTTTAATTCAAATTTAAAGACAAAAATATTGTAAAAAGATATTCAAAGCAATGCCTTGTAATTTTATTATAACAATAAAAAACATGATAATATCTTTCTTAGTCTTTCTCCCCCTATGGAATGAGCACAACAATAGTATTATAATTATTAGAATAGAGAGCATTCATTAATTCATGGTCTAAATGTTCACCGGGTGCAATATTATGGCAAAATTAAGTCTCGGTAAATTGTAATAAACTATTATCGGTATCAAGAATACCAGGTGTAGGACGGGTATGGGGTTTAGTTCGGGGAGTCGGGGGCAGGGGAGGAGGAACAACAGTACCACTAGATTCACCAGTCTTGGATTTTTCCTTATTCTTATTTTTACCAAAAATATTTCTTAAGGAAGGCATTTTAATTAATCAAGTAATAGCAAATAAATAAAACAAACAAAACTATAATATTAAGACTTAAGAGTTGGAACGAGTTTACCGAATTGACGAACAACTTGTTAAAAATTGATTATCGTTGAAGACTTCAATTCACCAACTTCACAAATTTTTCACAAATTGTAACAACCTCAATATTTTTTGACTATTTTTTGGAATAAAGTAAGCAATGGTAGAAGTATAGAAGAACATTAGAGAGAGATTGTGATAGATTGATATTGATTTTGTAAGAAAATGAAAGAATGAGGAGGTATTTATAGTTGAAAATAGGAAAAAAAGTGTAATTATAAAAAGTTTGGGGTTAAATGACTATTTTTTAAATCCCAACAGCTTTTTTTAAAATAGCCAAGCGGCTAGTGTTTTTTTAAAAAAAATATCCGTTTGGTCCGCCAAGGTCCCGGCTCCTTGGCGGGCCAAACGGGCCCGGTCCTGACGGTTCATAAGCAAAAATCGGCCCACGGGACCGGCCCAAGCCCATCTCTAGCAGTCCTACCGGTCCCGGCACACTTAGTCCGTGGGCCGGGCCCGGCCTGACCCACTTGACACCCTTAATTAGGGCCCGGGACCGACCACTTGACACCCTTAATTAGAACCAACTGGTATCACGTAAAAGATTTCGAGATGAGAAAGACCAGTAGAAGGAAACATGTGACGCTTGGCTGTGAGAACCACAACTTTGCAACATCTGAGGACATAAATATGACCGCCCAAATAGAAGAACAAGCATGCTATTTCGTCGCAGAGACAGTTCAATAAGCATACATCTGAGAGCATCAAAATCACTTAAACACATTCTGATACATAAGATCCCTCTCTTTTCCAATGACAGAGATTGATAAAGTTGAAAATTGCATTTTCATTAAAAAAAAGCCAACCTGAAGATTCCTCTATTAGTTATCCAAGACAGCCAACTTGATATCATATTTCCACAGAGATGGAAAATATTTCCTTACCTCCAATCTGAAATACTTGATTTTCCGGTTGGGATCAGATTTCCCTGCTACACCAACAGATTGAACCTCCTCTATATTCTTTTTCTGAGTGGCTAACCGACGGGCGGCACCCTGAGAACAATGATAAGGTAGAGGTCTGACTGGCTAAGAGTATATACACTGCAAAACTTGACTGAGACAACTAAAACCAGCAGGGGCTGCATAGTGTTCCAAAAGCATATCACGAATAACTGTATTTAGACTGTTGTGTTATTGCAATATTATGCAATCGGGTTGTCGCTAACTTAAAGGCAATATCATACACTTGCTTTTAGCATCATAAATCATCGAGGTCACTACATGCCAGTAAAGGACCAGTTAAGCAAAATACTATGACATCTACTCACTGCTGCAGAAGCATCTCGGCCTAGTTGCGCGAGCTGTATTCCAAGGCTTTGCTGATTGGGAAGAAAACGTCCGGCAGCTGGATTCCTGTTTGCTGAAGTAGCTTGCCAGCAAAGCTTAGGGCTCCAGTGACTTTGCTTGGTCAATTTAAACCCCTGTCACGTAAAGGGACAAAAATAATCTCTGTGTATCCACATATATGAAGAGATACAACATGCTAATACAAACACAACTCTAAGCCCTGATATCGGAACGTGGTGACAAAAGGAAAGAAGACGAAACTTGCTTTTGCACCCCAACACGAATAGACTCACACAAACATCCTTCAGAATGTTTGAGAAATAGCAGTTTCAAATGGATGAACGTTTTTTTAACTGGTCTGAGCAATGAACCACAAGTCCATATTCTTTATTATTTTTCATTTGGAAGAAGCGACCCAAGGGTGACAATAAAACAGACCTTGTTTGTCAGAGGAGATTTTGGAACTTCCACATGCAGCAAGCAACATTTGAGAAAAGCTCCCTTCTCTATATCTCTAATGGCTGCATTTATCAACGGTAAACAAGCACTTACAGCATCCTTGAAATCACTTTCTTGACTTTCATCATTCTTCCTAAAGTAGATTATGGGTATGCACCGTTAAGACCATCAAGAGTAATCAAAATTTCAGGAGTATACCATAAATGAAAGGCAAATACCAGTCAAGTGATATCGATAAAGATGGGACACCACTAAACAATGACTCCCTTGCACCAGCTACAACACCTGAGTAAAACCTGGAAACAATGAAGTAATACAGATAATCACAAAATTCTAAGGAGATATAAAAGTAACAAATAAAAGTGCAAGAACGTGTCAATTCACAACCTTAATATGAGCAGTAGTCATAATAAAACAATTTCAACCAAAAGAATTGTGCTAAATTACAGTTACTACTAAAAAAGAACATGGTCAGTACTCAGTAGACAAGGATAAAAGGAAGGTCACAAAATAAAATACTACTTACATATGATGGCCACAACTTGATCCCTTGTTGATTCCACTTATCACCTACAAGTCCAAGCAGAAAAAAATAACAGAGGATACGCAGCGGGTAAGCAATACCAAACACAAAAATGAAATAGAATAATGGTATAACTGGAAGCATGTCGAAGAATACCAGCATAGGCTTGGACCAGGAAAATAGTGCCCCAGACAAGGCTAATGACACACAATCTACGGGAGTCCCTAATACCAGAACAAATTCAAACAGCCTAACAAGTTAGAGCTGAAAAACTGTATAGTTTCAAAATAAAAGTGTATTCCTACAAAGCTCGAGTGAAAATCGATAACTAACTTTTTCACAAAACAATCAACAAAATATATAGTATATTACTAAAACCAACAGTAAGAGTGCGATACCAGAAACTTCATAAGCAATAGCACCATGAATCTCAGCCGAAGTAACCGCAATGGTTTCCTTCAGAGTAAAAGAGTGGCCTGCCGTTGATTTATCTCTACAACAGCATTTGGAAAAAAATGCATTATATTAACCATAAATTATTAAGGATTGTTTAGTATGCAAACAAATTATACATTAAATCTAATAAAACGTTTACTATATTAGAATGAAAAAACGTAATCTGTGTGAACAAATACGTATCAGTAACAGGGAGAGAGAGGATATATTTTAAAAGGAAACTTACGATTGAGGAGCGCAGACATGAACATTACAGAGGCCTTGACGAACGAGAGCATCAACAAGATAGGTAAGGCCAGGGGATTCTATCCCATCACCATTTGTAACCAAAACCACAGGTTTTGTATTGTCAACCTCCCCAACCGAGCTGGAGGAAGTGGATTCAGTGGAATCTTCATTGTTGGGCTGATTTTGGGCACCACCCTTTCTGCTAGAAAGGACTTCCTGAAGATTGGTAACAAGCCCAGGTTGCAGGAAGTTGTTTTTCGCACCAGAGGGCCTCATTTAGAGAGAGAGTTTGTGTGTGTGTGTTGCAGGAGTTGAAAGAAGGGACGTGACGTGAAGAAGAGGAAAATGAGGGTAATATAAAGCGCTCAAAAATGGATAGACCGCTTCCAACGGCGTTTATTTATTACGTACAAGTGGAGTCTGAAGAATATGAGAGAGTGGCAGTTTCTTCAATGTGGGCAGCGGTAACGTGTTACAGGTATTGATGCGATTTATAATATTAACAGTGTGTGAATCACATCTTGCCTTCCGAAAAGAATGATACAATTTGAAGAACTAGATACCATTTACTTGAAAGAATTCATGAACTTTTTTAATTCAAATGGTTTTGGAGGACAATGAATATATCTTATTTCAAAAGAAAAATGAGTATGTTAATAGCATGTTTCGCCAAGCTTCTCCAAGGTTAAAAGTTGAAAAAAATTCAAAAAAAAAAGTATTTTTTTTTAAAGTTAAACTGTTTGGCCAAACTTTTAGAAGAAAAAAAGTATTTTTGAGTAAAAGCAGAAGCAACTTTGAAGAAGCAGAATAAACTTAAAAAATACTTTTTAGAAGTTTGGCCAAAAACTCATTGCTGCTCAAAAGTATTTTTCAAATTAATTAATCAAATACAACTATTTCTCATAAAAAAAATACTTTTGAGAAAAAACACTTGTTAAAATAAGATGATTTTAGAAACTTACCAAAAAGGCTATTAATGATAATTAGCAAACGAAAAATCTTATTGTTGCAGATATTGCAGTTCCTTGACATTATATTTTTTTTGTTTTTCTTGTCACGGCAATATGTTCGAAGAATTCTTCAATACGGGTTTATCAAATGGGAATGATATTTTAATATTTGTGTAAGAGATTAAAGTAGGTTTACTAGCCAAGATAGGACAATCGTCCAGAAGAGAAAAACAATTGGAACTAAGAATCACAAGGCAAGTCAAAGCCTATATCTTTCTGTCTAAAACTAATTAGACAGAAAGAGAAATGGCATGCACTCGTTTCTCGTAAGAAAGGTGAAACTTTGTTTACAAAAGAAAAGGCCCATGGCGGAGTTTGAACTTCTGCAAATACCACAACAGTCCCATGCTGAATTATACTTCTCTTGCTTTCTATAGTAAAAGTTCGTCCACAAGCATTCGGTTTCATTATATCACTGCGATGGCTTTTACAAAGTTGTTATCTACAATTGAAATGCGAGTTCCTTTTAGAGGGTGTCAAAGCATTTTTAGCAGAGACTCGACCCTATAAACTAGCCAACAAAACCTGCACCCCAGCAGAGAGAAGCAATTGCATCCAAATTTGAGATGAGAACTACAAGGTTTGCAACTTCCTTTTCTTACAATAAGATGGTTGAATAACTTATAAAGTTAAAAAAAGAACTATGCTATCCTTATCCCAAGTGAGGCTAATGCATCTACAGGAAGTTAGTGAAAGAAATAAGTAACTTTATCTCACCAAAATCATCAACTCCAAATGAAACAAACACTAGCAGCAAAGATTTTACAACTAGATGGTACCCGTCAAAGTCATCACATATTTGCCACCTCAGACTTGTCACTTTCAATAAGGATGAAACCTTCCATTAGCAGCGCCATTATTCCTAGCACCACCACTTCCACCACCACTGCTGCCACCACTGCCATACCCTTTTGCACCACCATAACCAGCAGGATTGCCACCTTCAGATCCTCCTTTACCCCCATCATTCCAACCACCACCACTGCTCCCATATCCCTTACTGCTGGCATACCCAGCACCACCACCATAGTAGCCAGGCGCACCATAGCTGCTGCCTCCATAACCAGCTGCCCCATACATAGCTCCACCAAACCCAAATCCATAACCGTATCCACCATATCCAGGGTAAAATCCTGCAGCACCTGCACTGTAACTCCCTGCAAACTTGCCATAACCATCATAGCCACCGTATCCGCCATAGCCTCTGCCCATCTTTCCACCATATCCACCACCAACCCCCTCTACAGAACCACCAAAGCCACCGTATGATTTTGAACTACTCCCACCACGATGTAGCCGGCTTTCACTTGCATGTTCAGCACCACCTCTCTTTGGCTCTGCCCTCTTAATTTCAACCTGAAGAAGATAAAATATCAGAGTGGTATCATTTTGTTTGATCGTAGTAAAACGGGGTGATAATCAATCCTTAAAAAAGTATAAAGTCCTAATTACTCACTTGTTTGCCACGAAGTTCGTGCATACGGCCATTAGATAAAACCTTCTCAACTGCTTCTTCATTATCAAAAGTGACAAAGCCAAAGCCTCGGGACCGACCAGTGTTTTGATCCAGCATGATCTGATGCTCCACAACATAGCCATAAGAAGAAAAATATTCCTTCAACTCATCTGCAATTAGTCAATAGGTTAAAGCAGCAACTTTTTGGACTCACATAGATAAGGAGTTATATCATGTAGAATACTTTTACCTTCAGTTAAAGGTAACGGAAGACCGCCAATAAAAATTTTCTTAGTTTTTGATGCTCCTTTAACTTGCATGTTCTCCTTAGGTACTGTCTTCTTCACTTCCACCTTATCAAGGAAAAATAAACATATTCATTAAACATAAACCTTGGCACAGTAGTAATAGTAAATAAAGGAAAAATAATATTAAGTGGTGCTTTCAGTAGAATATTATACCGCTCTACCATCTATGACATGGTCTTCCTCTAAAACCTTATTTGCAACTTCCACATCCGCATATGTAACAAATCCAAATCCTCGTGGCCTTCCAGAGACCTTATCCATCATTATAACAGCATCAGTTATCTCTCCAAACTGGCTAAAATGCTTCCTAAAAGATTCTGGAAGGTAAAACACCATATACAGTACAAGGTTAGAGGAAAGACAGCCAGACCTCATGAAAGTAGGAAAGCAAACAAAGCAGATGTACTTATCAAAAGGAAAAAAAACAAAGTAGATATCATAATATAGGTTACTCGGCAAACTATTTTGAAGTCAAACCACTGTAAAAAATTGTCAGTTTCTGAAACATGGAAAAAGAATTTGAAGAAACTAAAAGATTTATCGAAAAGCAAACAGAGACCAGAAGAATTTACTGTGGAAGGAGAACATTAACTCAAGTACTCAACTAACTAAATACATGAATAATTAAAATGCCTCAATATCATGTTAGGAATGCATACTGAGAAAGGTTGTGTCTTTTTACTGTGTTCTCAAGATGTTCCAAAGAAAGCCCAAACCCAAATCCCACCTCCAAAAAGTTAATAGAGCAAGGACCAAAGTCAATGGTGCGAGTGCCAGCAAATACACTATAAATTGAATAATGCAAGTACTATAAAGCAATGTGCTCAAGCAAGAGTACATCACACTGCCCCTAACCTAATAAATTCGTAATACACACAACTCAGGGGAAGCAACCAGCTCCCGAGTGCAGTTGCAATAATCTTTTAGCTGATGCCTCACATTAGAAACTAACTCATCCTAAATGAAGTAATCATGCATTCTAAGACCACTCTCCTTTAGAAACCTTTCGCTTTTCTTATAATCCAGATATCACTGAAACTCATGTTCTGTCGTACTATAACAGTTAGCAACATCAATTCAGCGAGAAATTCTTGTCTGAAAAGAATCATGATACTGTAAAATTCTAATGAGAGAACAGCTGGTACTGGAAACAAATCTTTGTGCACTATTGTATAAAAAAAAAGACAACTTAAAGAAGATGCTTAAAAGTCCTTTTGCTTGCACACAAGGGTGTGGCCTATCGGTCAATGAAGCGGGTGCAAAACCTTGAAGACTAGGGTTTAAATCCCAATAGAGACAAGAACACTGGGCGATTTTTTCTCATCTGCCTAAGTTTTGGTAGCAGAGTTACCCAGTACTTGTGTTGGTGGGAGATAGTAGGTACCTAGTGAAATAGTCGAGGTGCTCGCAAGTTGAGTTGGCCTGGACAAATATTTGCATGGCAAGAATCCTCAGGAGAGGTGAAACCCCCATTTTATATTTCCATCTTTCTCATTTAATTAGAGTATGGCTTAGTCTCAATCTTTTGCCTAAAGATACATCATAATTTTTCAAATATGATGTTCATTCGTAACAAGACTTAAGCAAGTACTGTCATGTGGCCAAGCAACAAAAGTGAAGACATCTAAGAGACTTAACAAAAGGCCACCTACGACACACTAGTGATATGTCAGATAAACATGTTAAGAGTGCTTTAACCACGTTGCCAAGCCAATTCACTATTTTCATGATCCAGGAATATGCCTAGGTAGAAAGACAACTGGTATAAACACAGCACATGAAGATACGATAGAAGGAAAAATGTCAATAAAGGGGTAACCAAAGTGCACAGAGGACACGTGCAGGCGTAGTGGGAAGGCCGCCGGGCTTAAAGAATATATTGGTTATATAGCAACCAATTTTTTTGAAAAAAAAAGTTAACTATGTCGCAAGCAAGGTATAACTGAAAAAAAACAGAGCAAGTTGACAGCTGCATTAGCTGCTCAACCAAAACTTTAATGCGAGACTATCCGTACATAAACGAAAGCCATATTCTTGTCCAAGTCAAGACCTTTGATAATCTCACTTTTAAAGCTTATTCTTTACAAAATAAGACAGTCCTAATGTGGAAACAATGAAAAATATATACATGCCCATAAGAAGGGAAGAAATATTGAGCTTGCACACGTTCAGCTACAGTGAAACAAAGAAACCACTTGCACAGCAACTTTAGTTGTACATCAAATCAAATATTACTCTAAAAATGTCAAAACTGAAGCAAATAGATTTTCAGCAATCACAAACAGTTTGGACTACAAAAAGAATTTCTTTCACTTAAGCTAAAAACAGAGGGTCCGTAATATGCACAATTTTATGTGAAGCAAGATAGCATCAATACCTTCGGTCGTCTCCCAAGCAATGCCTCCAACAAAAAGTTTTCTATCAACAAACAAAAATTACCATTATGTCGGCATAACCTCATATATCTTCGTAAATTGCAAAAAGGGGTTTTCCATGTCTACTAAAATCCTCTCGTTAAGAAAACACAACAATTTGGTAAAATTCATGAGAAAAAAATCATTCTAAGACAAACCTGTGACCTGCTACAAACTATAAGCTATAAACTAAGCTACTACAAACTAACCCTGCTGAAGAATCATCCATTGAATGCTTTAATTCATGGCTTTCTGAATATCGCTCTTGTTGCTCAGTTACATCAAAATCCATTGTTTCTATTGTTTCTCTACCTATAAAACCTGCAAACAGGTACGAGATTATTTCCAAAAACACCTCTAGCTTTGAGGTTGGTTCTGTAGTTTTCAGCTAAAAAGAATAAACCCTAACTAAACCTTGACAGATCCCTGCAAGTAGCTAGCTTTAGGTATTCTCTTCAAGAGATGAAATTTAGTGGGGAAAGGAGTTGAGTAATGAGTTTTG